TCAACATTACTGAAATTTCGGAATCGTGGTCAAAGTATATTCATAATAATGTTCTATACAACATTAAGAACTACATATTTAACAACATTACAAGTTCTAGAATATCGTTGCAATAACATTGTAATAATGATTTTTTGCTTACTGGGTACATACATGGAATGCGTTCCGATATTCGCTGCTACTAAAAATCTGTAGTATTCCCAGTAAGCAAGGAACATTAAATTAACGTTTAGAAATATTGATTTTATGTGTATTTTTTAAACGTTTTTTAATAATATTATACACATATTTGAAAAATATTATTTCGTAATATGATTTTTCTGAATGTTGTTAAAATATTTTAAAAACGTTACAGAAAATATTTTTCAAATGTTACTCTGACATTTATTTGAGATCAATGCAACAGTTCAAAGTTCCTTGTAATTTGGACTTGGAAATAACGTTGGTAGTATATTAATTTTCTGTTGTTAGAATGTTATTGTTTTATATTGTACGCAACGCTCATCGCGACAGCCATGATGCGTACATTTACGTATGTACAATGCGTGAGTGCGTATACACGCGTGTGGATCGAGCAGTGCGGAGTGCTCTTTATTTAGAGTATATTTATATATAAATAAGTAACTATTATATTCTAAAAGTTGTATATTAATAATAAAAACTCAATTAACCATACGTGCTATGAATAGTAGTTGATATGATTATTTATAACCTATAATTTAGGTTATAACGTACAAATAACGTTCTTTGGGTATCGGTAGAAGCTATATAGTGGAATTATTTGCTATTTTCTTGCAATTTACTGCCGATTATTTTTAGCTGTTTGAACGCGTCGAGATCATGAGCAGACGCACGCTTGTCGCGACAGCCCATCGGAAGCAGTAATAGTTCTGGAGACTGTAGTCGCATTATCTTACATACGTATGATGCGTGAGTGTGTCATATATACGTACGTTTGTGCTTGTGCTGTCGAGCGCTTTTAATTGTATACAACATTTTTATATGAGTAATTATTATATTCTAAAACTTGCATATTAATGATAAGAACTTAATTATCTATATGTGCTGTAAATAGGTAGCTGGTGATTCAAGATCTATTTTTTGACCTATATAAGAGAGAGATTTGCAGAAGAAAAGAAATATACCAAAGTATTAATAAGGATCAAACATATTCTTGATGTATGTACTCGGGCCGCGAGGCTGAGCAATATTCTAAGGAAAGTATTATACAATTGTATCGTTTTATATTGTGCGCAACGCTCATCGCGACAGCCATGATGTACATGATTATCTTACATACGATGCGTGAGTACGTATACACGTGTGTCAATCGAGGAGTGCAGAGTGCTCTTTATTTACAGCATATTTATATATAAGTAATAATTTATATTCTAAAAGTTGTATATTAATGATAAGAATTCAATTAACCATACGTGCTATAATTATTTATTGTGCTATGAATAGTAGCTGGTGATGTAGGATTCATTTTCCAATTTACAAGAGAGATTTACAAAAGAGAGGAAATATCAATTAATTTTTTTACATTCTATAATAGATTTGTCCTTGGACATTAAAAATATCATCAAGGTTCGTCAATGCTATTATTTCAATGGTACCAAACAGTGTAACTTTCTATAAAATAACCTCAAAATTTGACGAAATATGTAAATGATAACGTATAAAGCTGGTACACTATGCATGAAGACGATTTGTTAAAGTATTGTACGGCTTTAATACATCATTGTTTGCATGTACCACTGTAAGAGTAATTTAGTATAAAATTAGTATAAAGTTGATAGATGTAACAAACGATCAATACAAACAAGACCAAAACTGACTTTTTATTTATTTCTATATTTTTTCACATATATGTGCTATCACACTCTAAAGTATATAAATATATTATTGTAAGCGTATTTTATATGTACAGGGCAATGAATATGTCTTAACATATGGGATCAATTGTTGTATCAAATTCAAAAAACCACCATTTGAAAAATTTGACCCCGGCTAAGATAAACATCAGTGAACAATATATTATAAGGAAAACTCTGTACAAGATACTAGAAATGCTAAAAGATGATCAAGAAGCTTTTACACAAGTCGTAAGTAAAGCTGCTTATTATAATTAAATTATATATATATTAAATTACAACCTTTTTCTTATCTAAACTATATTGAATTCTTCTTGTTTTAGAGGCTATTAGACAACAATTCCTTGTAATACAGAGAAAGACTTGGAACACTCTATAATGGAATGGCTTAGATTTGCAAACATCCGTAAACAAAGAAAAAAATCTTAAAAGGTAAAAAAGTAACATAATGTATTTATGTCTGTTAAGTTAGCACCCCCCATAAAAAACCGGAATAACACATATGCAGAAATTAAGTGCTCTTCATGCGTTAATTATATGTGCTCTATTCACGATTTTTGTGCTTGAGCGGTTTCGTGGGAAATTGCAATTGAAACTGGGGGTGCTGGCTTAACGTAAGCTATTATAGCACCCCCACTCATTAAAATTACATATAAAATAAAAAACTCATTATGCTAGAATTATGTGCTTTTTATGTGTTTTCAAATGCCTCAAACAAAATTAGTCTATCTGTAAGTTTAAAAAATATACGCAAAAAAAGATCTATATACTATACTGATATAAGAGTAAAGTATCAGTTAAAATACAGAAAGCGTAATAATTCTTGTCTTAAAATGTTTCTTGATTAATGTGTTCTCGAAATATGCACAATGAAATTTTCGTGCTTATCCCCTTTGACCGACTTGAACGTGAACACCCCATACGTACAAAAGTAAAGTACCAGTTAAAATACAGGTAGCAAATTGGTTTTGATCTTAAAATATTCCTCAATTTATGTGCTCCCGAAATATGCACAATGATTTTAAAAACATAAAAATCACATTAATTTTTTTTGTCAATGTAATTTTTTGATACAAATTTTTTTAATAAACATAATTATATATGTAATATCTAAATATTCTATTACCATATTCTTTTGTACATCATAAAACAAATATATCTTTCAAGTATTAGTCGCGCAATTGTAGCGTGAACTGCACTATTATTCATGTAACATTAACATAAAAAACAATACACAAGAGATTCTATATAAATACAAATTAAAGTTTACTAAAGAGTAACTAATTTTGAAAATTATATTTTGTTTCTATTATTAGAAAGGAAATGTTAAAAATTAGTTAAACATATGTTTACTTATATGTATTTATATATTGTTCAGAATCTCAGTGAAAAATTCTCCATAATATTTAGCAACTTTGCAATACTTACTCATAATTCATATTAAATAACTTTAAAAATGTATACAAATACATATATTTAATTTGATAAATATTAATATAATTATATTACTTATATACAAAATTATATTTTACTTGTATACCTCAATTCTTCCTATCTATTCCTGCATGCACTTCTTCCATCTACTCTCATATTTGATACTGATAACTATCCCACGTTTTGCTAACAATTTTACATATATAACAATATTTATGTAAAAAATACTACATTTAAAAATTTTTCTGAAATCTTATTAAACAAGTTAATCAATACATTAACCAAAACAAAAATCTTATTTTGTTTATTTTGAAAACACATAAATTGAGGAACATTTTAAGACTAAAACCAATTCGCTATCTATATTTTAACTGGTACTTTACTCTTGTACGTATGGGGTGCTCACGTTTTGGTCGGCCGAAGAGGATGAGCACAGAAATCTCATTGTGCATATTTTGAAAGCACATAAATTGAAGAATATTTTAAGACTAAAACCAATTCACTATCTGTATTTTAACTGGTACTTTACTCTTGTACGTATGGGGTGTTCACGTTTGGGTCGGTCGAAAAGGATGAGCACAGAAATCCCATTGTACATATTTTGAAAGCACATAAATTGAGGAATATTTTAAGACTAAAACCAATTCGCTATCTGTATTTTAACTGGTACTTTACTCTTGTACGTATGGGGTGTTCACGTTCAAGTCGGTCAAAGGGGATAAGCACGAAAATTTCATTGTGCATATTTCGAGAACACATTAATCAAGAAACATTTTAAGACAAGAATTATATTGCTTTCTGTATTTTAACTGATACTTTACTCTTATATCAGTAGTATATAGATCTTTTTTTTACGTATATCTTTTAAACTATTACAGATAAACTAATTTTGTTTGAGGCATTTAAAAGCACATAAAAAGCACATAATTCTACTATATTGAATATTTTATTTTATAATATAATTTTAATGAGTAGGGGTGCTAGCTTACGTTAAGCCAGCATCTCCACTTTCAATTGCAATTTCCCACGAAACCGTTCAAGCACAAAAATCGTGAATAGAATAATTAGCACATAAAGAGCATTTAATTTCTACATATGTGTTATTCTGCTTTTTGCGGAGGGGGAGGGGTGCTAACTTAACAGACATAATATATTTTGATACGTAGACTAAATCACTGAAGATGTTACTAATATTTCTGAAGTTGAATGAGAAATTCTTATTTTTCAGCAACTGTTTGATAAAGATCCGGAAAGATTAATAATCTGTTTAAAAGGAAAGAATAAGAGTTTGGAAAAAAATAGTAAAAGAGTTATATTAAACTAAAGCATCTGTATCGCATTGCCTAAAGAAGAGTTAGAAGGCACCTTAATTTCTCTTATCCGAAAGCTGACTTCAAAAATCCTTTCCTAGGATTCCTTCCTAGGATCAATACTTTCTGAGGTAATCGGCAGAGATAATTTGCAGAAATAATTGGCACACGAAATAAATCTCATAATAAAACCTATATATGTATATGTATATGTATATATTTGTTCATATAAATAAAACTACTTTTTTATGGTAATTAGTGTAGTGCATTTTATTGAAAATAAATACATACTCCCTGAAATAAAAATAAAATATCAATAATAACTTTAAATAAACGTTAGAATTAATATTACGGTAATCTTAATATAATATTGTAATAAAGTTGATAGTTTGTTTAAATTTTTATCTCAAAAACATTACAGGAATGATAGAAAAACCTTAGCAAAATGTTATTTGCAACGTTATGGCACTCCCATTTCAACATTACTGAAATTTCGGAATCGTGGTCAAAGTAT